GGTAGAGCGACTGATGTTCCTCCGACTCAACAGGCTGTACATCCCAGAGGTCAAGGCCCTTCACGACGCCGTTGAGGCCAACAAAGCAGCGGCAGCTCGGTGCCAAGAGAAAGTTGCACAAGTCGAGGCGGAAGCAGCTGGCGACGCTGTCGTCTTGACACTCTAATATTGTGTTTAAGTGTTGTTTTACTCCAGTATTGTTTTTGAACTGCGGAACTGCTGTTGGCGAATAATATAGTGTACGGGCGGTATCATGTGGTTTAAGCATGCGTGTGTGCGTTGTCGCCGGTAATCTGGTAGTCTTCGTCTCGCAGATAAGTGTGGTGCCTTCGTCGGTCTTCACGTTTCGGTAGTGATTGTATTTCGAGGCGTAGCTCTAGAACTAGATCGGGAAATAGTTCGTCGTCTTTCGTCTTTCGGTAATTTGACAAGGAGCGCAGAGATATTTCGCCTGTAATCTCCAAACAATTGAACAAGAGAAGAAAACACACTTTACAGGTTCACTCCTTTGTGGTTTTGTTTTCTTCTTGTGACACAATATTTGGGTGTCACACGCACTGACAAGGAACCCTGTACTTCGCCGTGTGGGGGGGGTGCTACCATCCAACGTTACCGTGCATTACCGTGGTGGCCAGTTCCCACCCAACCAATTCCCGTGGTTGCTGGTTCCCGTACGGGAATTCCCGCGGTGGCCAATTCCCACCCAAATATTACCGTGCATTACCGTGGTTGCTGGTTCCCGTATGGAACGTTCCGTGGTGGCCAGTTCCCACCCAAATATTACCGTGCATTACCGTGGTGGCTGGTTCCCGTACGGAACGTTCCCAAAGTGACAAATCGTTCACGAGAGGAGCCTTGCAAATTTCCGAATGGATTTAAACTCCGGTCCTGGTGCTTGTGCGTCCCATTACCATAAAACTGTAAAAAATGACGTGTCCGGACGCGCGGCTTGGAATTTCAGAAGCTAACAAGCTGCCCACTGCTGATCTGCTGATGATACATTATGCATATACACGCACACCCAGCGGCTGAAACACACCCGTAGAAACTCACCCACCATGGCCCAATTCCCCCTGTATGTGAAAGCACACCAGTAATAGCTATCTTTGGCCACATAGTCTACACAACAGCAATGCCTGAGAGTCGTCGTAAAATGTGCTCCTTGTTACCGCAAATAAATAAATAGACTAATGTGGTGTAAATGTGGTGTGATGTAGATGGGAGTGGTAGACTACTTGTAGTCCAGTCTTCTTGCTGTTGGAAACGCAGCATACTATGCTACTAGTCTCGCAACATCATCAGTAGAAACGTGTAGAAGCACACCCGTCAAGGCACAACCCCCCCCGGATGTGAAAGCACATCAACAGTAGTAGTAGTGTAGTAACAGACCTGGCTGCGCGCTCTCACACGATGATCATCAGATGATGATGATGTTTCAATATGTCGAAAATTGTTCGTGAAACGAAAGAAAAACGAGCAAAGACGACTCTGCTGAGATGAAGAGGCAAGTCTTACTTCACAGCAGCAGCAGCAGCCAACAGAGGCGGAACACCCCCAATAGCCTTCGCGGGTTCTAATGATACAGCATGTATGGTGTCTTTCGCAGGAGGACCAGAATAGATAGGGCGGTGGACGAGGGGAGTGAGCGGAACATATGCATCCGCGACCTGCAACGATGTCACGAAATAACACGGTTGCCCACGTAACACGGTTGAGCGCTGTTTGCCGCTGTGCTGTTGTCCCTTTCCACACCGCGCTGCCTCATGGGTTCGTGTATGTAGATATACAGTCTAGACTAGACTGTATGTGTCCACCACCACCGTTGTTAATTTACGCCGGCGGAAGCGCTTATAGGTGCCGATCATCTGGCGGTACTGCTGGTACCGATGATGATTGATGTACATACATGTGGAGGTCGCATGTGTCGGCCGTTGGTGCTCCAGTTGAGAGAGCGGCGAGAGCGGGCACAGCAGTCAAGAAGATCATTCCTGATAATATTACCAAACGTTGGCCAAAAGTGCTCTCTGATGATTTCATCGGGAAGGAAGATCCACGTGGTGATTTTGCGAATAGACCGTGTGACATTGCAAACTCGATCATAATGAGTTCCTGATGATTTTTTTATGAACACCAGGAGGCTCGAGTTCTCGAGTTTGCAATGTGTCACACCGCAGGTAGTAGCAGCAGTAGAGATGGCACGGATTCCACACTTTGTTTTTTTACTTTCTATATGTCAAATTGTCAAATTGTCGCCGACTGTGCCCCACATGTGGTACGTGCTACTGCTGTTTTTGCGCGGAGCCCCATCACCGGCTGCGTGCGTGACCACGGCTGTTCACAAGGACCAGGCTCTCACTGCAGGTAGAGGCGCACTGAAGCCTTGCGTGCCAACTACGGGTAGATCCGCGCTCCTGGTTTGAGTCGCTTGCAGTTCGGACTTTTTACAACGCCGCCCGGTAGCTCTATGCTGAAGATAAGACTTACAAGAGATCCATGACGAGGATCATGAGGGAGCAGCCTTTTCTGGACAATCCGACCAAATACCCGGAGTTCTCACTACTGATCAAGAGGCACGAATTGCAGCACGCGTTCAGATGGGGGCTTCATCGACACAGGTAGAGCGGCGTCGGTTCTGTAGTTCGCAGTT